ACACACACACACACACACACACACACACACACACACACACACACACACACACACACACACACACACACACACGCGCCCGCGTTATATAAATTTATTTATTTATTTATTTATTTATTTATTTATTTATTTATTTATTTATTTATTTATTTCAGTTTGGCAGCCTTATGACGGGACCCATCGTGGTCATATTTGTCGTCCTACAAATTTTTATCTACAAAGACCTTTTCAACGTCTCCTGGAAGGTGTACTTCGGAGCCGCCTTCGGTCCAGTGATGGGCCTCTCTTTTGGCTTCACAGTTGGAGCAATCACGCGTCGGTCTTGGGCGCAATGCCGCACGATCGCGCTCGAGACAGGCTGTCAAAATGTACCGCTCGCCATTACGCTGATCCTCGTTTCGTTTCCGCAGGATTTCGTCAATGATGCGATATTTGTGCCAATAGTTTACGCCATCTGTGGCGTTGTTTTCTCGCTCGCTGTGGTGGGCTTCTGGCTAGTGTATAAGCGGTGGGTAGTGAGTAAGACTGCGCATGCTGAGCCGGGGAAGGTCACACAAGGTGATTACACGCTCACCGATGTCAGTGAAAAACAAAAAAACGTTGATAACGGGGTGTGATTATAAGGTAGATATTAGAAAGAGCGATTTTTGATGAATTGATAAATTGAACTATTAAATATCACGAGTGTAATTAACAACGGGTGATGCGTTAAGTCTTCTGATATGGAGATATATAATCTGATATATGATATTAAAGTCCTTGAGGCTTATTTTCACTTAATATTGTGACATGTTGACTCTGATCACGCTGACTGTGCATGATAGGATAGAATGATCGCATACATGGACAGTGCAGCCAGCATGCAATAGCACAATATATTGCATACATATATTTTTACACACAATTCAATGGTTTGAAATTAGAGCAAGCGTAATTTTTTTCACTAAAGCTCTATTACGTATTATTAATTTAAAATTCTGTTCAACGTCCTTTCTGCTTATATTATATGTACTTTGTGTGAGTTAGGAAGTCGGCATGAGATTGTGACAGATATGGGTTTGTGACACATTTTAGCAGAGAGACAAGTTATAGACGTGTAGTTAATATTTTAATTTTGATATGTTATTTTTCTAATAGAAAACTAGATAGAATGTTTTTATTCTGCGTCCATCAGATCTGTGGCAGTATCTAAATGTTATAAGATTGTGAGAAAACCCGCATCGCAATAAGTAAAGTTTATTATATTAAAATCCATGTTGCCTGCTGAGCGGTGCTGCCATCTTGAATAAACACACACTAAACTGTTTGCAAGATATACATTCGTACTTGTATTATAAGCATCGCCGAACTTCAGCAGTAGGTGCACGGTTATACTGCGTACGTTGATTATGTCATGTATTTAATCCGAGAATAAAAGAATTTACTAGTGTTTAATCCGACCAGTGTAAATCCAGATACTCTAGTGTATTATAGTAACATTGCATCTAGTACTTGCTGCTTGTGAGTGCTTCGTTATTTGAAAATAAGCTCAGAATCTTATGAACGGGACAAGCATGAGCGGTTTGTAGTATATTCTTCTTACTACTATATCAAGTGCTATTAACACTATAATAGCTATAATAATATATATTGTAATATGTACATACTATATTCTAAATATACTATGCTATATATAATATACTATACTACTACTATACTATATATAATATACTATACTACTACTATACTGTATAAAAATACTATTATTATTATCGATAGTAAGGTCAAAATGTTTTTTTATCAGAGTGCATCATCGTGTGAGACACGTGTGTTTTATGAAATTAGACATTTGCATAGTCCAATAACGATACCATTAACGTTTTATATATGGTGATATATTAATCAGGCGTACACGTGTGATGACTGCAGGCGTAAAAGTATGATATATATATATATACAACGGTATTGATATCTTTACGGTGCAGATGATAAAACCGAATTAAACAGCGATTGAAAATGCAATTAGAATATAATACGTACTACTAAAATAAATGATATAACTATAGAATATAATAAAATGAATTTATAGAATATATATACATACATCTACATATATATATACTGAAGATCTAACTATGGCGTGACGGCATGAAACTATAACCTATGCAAATTCTCCCATGACTCCGCGTGCCACGAGCTAGGACCCCAGTGTCAAAGAATTACAAGTAGATACGACAATTACGACATTATAAGTCTATGACGTCATAATGTTCGCACGCGAATCGCTGTGCCAAACGTATATCATCATAGACATATAGACAAATCGATTTTCGTATTAATTCGGGTTGTTTCTAACAGCAGGGCCTCGGCATTGTGCACAAAACCCTTGCTGTTGCTGTTGTCATTGCTACTGCTACTGCTGCTGCTGCTGCTGCTGCTGCTGCTGTTGTCATTGCTACTGCTATCACTGCTGCTATTACTGATGCTGTTAATGTTGCTGCTGTTGCCGCCACCGCCGTTGCTACCGCTGTGACTGCCACTATAGCTGCTACTAATGCTATTACTGCAGCTGCAGTGGCTACCATCATTACTAAGGACACGGTAGTACTATGGTAGTGCTCATACCACTAATCTATCTTGTATCTCCTGCAGGAACGGGGAGGCGTCGGTGAGGGTGCGCGGCGGTGAGTCGTTCGTAGACGGCCTGCGACTGCTGCTGCTGCGGGGCAGCCCGGCGATCGAGGTGACGCGCAGTGAGAGCGGCTGCCCGGCAACGCTACGTGGCGCCCTCTCCACGCTCGTGCAGCAAGAGCATCCGCAGGTAACGACCATGCATGCTTGCGGCGAAAGCCGCGGGGAGTTTTCTACTAGTCCGCGAAAATTCATGTGTGGGGAAGAATGTGATTTTGCCTGTAAATTGATGCTCAGGTAGCAACAGAATGCACCACTGAGCTTCCATGCATCAACGAAGAAGCTTTTTGGTCGGAAAATGACGTTGAACTAATTTCTACCCCGTCGCCGCATCAAGTCGCTGCAATAATTCATTGCTAACCTGCTCCCGAGTTGACTCATCGTAATAATAACTGCTTATGCACTTGTTTACTTCCACCGTGCGGCCGCTGCATGCTTAATTTCTAACCCGCTGCTGGTTAACCTAACCGGTTATTATTCAATTACGCGAATTAGTCGACTCATCGGAATAATAACTGCTGACGCGCTTGTTTATTCCTGCTGTTGCGTGCAGGACTGGGACGAGTTGCTGGACGAATACCTGTACGAGTATCGCTGCCAGCCTCAGCAGAACGCTCTGACCCCCTTCTACCTCATGTACGGCCGACAACCGATGGTGGTCACCCTTAAGCAGCAGCAGCAGCACCAGCAGCCATTTGGCGCCACCATCGTCGTCGCGGCGACGACGAAAAAGACGGAGGCCAGTCCGAAGAAGAAAGTCAAGAAGAAGGTTCCCGTTAAGGTGTGGCGAGTGTTCGTTGTCATGTAGATGACAATATTAATTTGAATACTCCCAAGACGAAGGTCTGTTAGCTAGGATAGAATGCTATGCTATGAATCTAGTGTGTTGTACTGTGCAATTATCTCAGTCATAATCAACTATCGTCAATACTGATATGATATTGCAATATTATATATAATTAAAATGTATTCTTATTATATATTATAATATTATAGTTTATTTATATGTTGCAATATTATATAATATTGCAATCAGTACCAACTGATAGCAAACAACATAGATATCCCATTATGCATCTACTAGGAAATATCTGCATTGCAAACTTGAATACTAAGGAATGTGTTGCAGACCATATTTTATTTATTTATTTATTTATTTATTTATTTATTTCAGTTTGGCAGCCTTATGACGGGACCCGTCGTATTCATATTCGTCGTCCTACAAATTCTCATCTACAAAGACCTTTTCAACGTTTCCTGGCAGGTGTACTTCGGAGCCGCCTTCGGTCCAGTGATGGGCCTCTCTTTTGGCTTCATAGTTGGAGCAATCGCGCGTCTGCCTTGGGCGCAGTGCCGCACGGTGGCGCTCGAGACAGGCTGTCAAAATGTACCGCTCGCCATTACGCTGATCCTCGTTTCGTTTCCGCAGGATTTCGTCAATAATGCGATATTCGTGCCAATAGTTTACGCCCTCTGTAGCTGTGTTTTCTCGCTCGCTGTTGTGGGCGGCTGGCTAGCGTATAAGCGGTGGGTAGTGAGTAAGACTGCGCATGCTCAGCCGGGGAAGGTCACACAAGGTGATTACACGCTCACCGATGTCAGTGAAAAACAACAAAACGTTGATAACGGGGTGTGATTATAAGGTAGATATTAGAAAGAGCGATTTTTGATGAATTGATAAATTGAACTATTAAATATCACGAGTGTAATTAACAACGGGTGATGCGTTAAGTCTTCTGATATGGAGATATATAATCTGATATATGATATTGAAGTCTTTGAAGCTTATTTTCACTTGATGTTGTGACATGTTGACTCTGATCACGCTGACAGTGATAGCATAGAATGATCGCATACATGGACAGTGCAGCCAGCATGCAATAGCACAATATATTGCATACATATATTTTTACACACAATTCAATGGTTTGAGAGCAAACGTGATTTTTTTCGCTAAAGTTATATTACTTATTAGTAATTTAAAATGATATTATACTTTGTTTTCTTGTTGCTATGTTGTTCTGTTCAAGGTATTTTCTGCTTAAATTATATGTACTTTGTGTGAGATAGGAAGTCGGCATGGAATTGTGACAGATATGGGTTTGTGACACATTTTAGCAGAGAGACAAGTTATAGTCGTGTAGTTAATATTTTAATTTTGATGTGTTATTTTTTTAATCGAAAACTAGATAGAATGTTTTTATTCTGCGTCCATCAGATATGGGGCAATATCTAAATGTTATACGATTGTGAGAAAACCCGCATCGCAATAAGTGCAGTTTATTATATTAAAATCCATGTTGCCTGCTGAGCGGTGCTGACATCTTG